CTATCTTTAGTTGCTATGGACCTAATTATTGACCTTTTGACTAAGATTGGAGTTTTTTTGTTATCTAGTTATTGAGTTGTTTGTTTACCAGATAAAGTCTTTCTCAATATTTAGCGGAGCACAGAATCATACATTTTCCTTTAAGATAATTATTTTTGAGTAGACTGAAGTAAAGACCATTTCTGCAGTGATTAAGATTTAAATGCTACTAAGTTGTGGAAGAATATATTCTACTGATATTGCATTTAACAGCAGCAAAAATTGCACAATGGCTGCAATCCACTGTTTCTAGTAAACACAATTGTAAGAAATGTCTTTACCCTTGAAATGAGAACTATCTGTGAGGAAGTGAATGTTACCGAGACATTTTGACCCAGACAGGGGGGGAAATGATTATTGTGTTCCTGAAATCCGCGAAGGACATCGTAACATTTCACACTTCACATTTCACCTTTCACTCCAGATTCAATGTTTGCATCGCCTGCTCTGACTTATTTTATTCAGAAACGGCTCAAAGAGGTTTGGTTCAGATGCGTAAAAGGTTCATTCATTTGAATTCTCTTTTTCAGGAGGAAATTTAATTCAGAGTAAAACACAAGCTGAAAAGTTGTGCTACAAGTCGCCTCTGTTTTGTGTCAATCCAAAGCAATTCCAAAATTGCAGTGTATAAAATGCCAGCATTCTGCTCCTGAGTTTGAACTGTCAGCCTAATGTGTTTTAATGATATTTTTCTCTACTACATCCCTCTACGCAGAATTATATCTCCTGCAACACTCATTACAAGACCACTTGGTCGTCTCACTTTTAATGTTGTTGTGTTTCAGTGTTGAGGTGCAAATCACTACATTATGTTAATTAAAGTTAATTCTTCGCAGAAAACCCATTCTTGTTCCTGTTGGTATAAAGGTTAACACCTGTGTTATGACTCATGTGCTTTGCTTGATCTCTGAAATTTCTTTTGACTGAGTTTCAGTATTAGTAGCATGTATTCTGTTGCTTTCGTCAGAAGACGCACTAATGTGAGCGACAAGGCCGGCAGGATTTCGGAAGAACATGTTTCAGTTCAGCAGTGTGCAGCGTCTGTGCAGCATTTGTCAGTTTCTGTAAAGTGATATGAAAGAATGAATCAATGAAGATCATATAGACCAGAGAGGCTGTCAGCATATACAGTTGAAGATGTGTGAACCATCAGAGGTGCAAGGTGGAATGATTTTTTAAAAAGAAATCTCTTGTCTGTGGTCTTCAGATGACAGAACAGAGGAAGCAGAAGCAGCGGATTGGCCTGTTGGGACACCCTCAACACATGAACGTCAACCCCCAGCAGCCGGCATAAGGTCAACTTACGTGGCTCTGAAGCAGTTCAGCATCGACCGTGTGTCTGGACGGGGCGTGCAGTCTCTCAGAGGCTGCACATCACGTATACTGCACTGAGTGTGCGCTTAACTTATAACGGTAGGGAAACACTGTAACATAGGTAGTCATAAGACGATGTGTAGCTCTATCCCACGCACATGTTACTCCAAACAGTAACATTCACCCACCTCATTCTGTTCAGCTCAGTTGGAATTTGTGCCAAATGTTTTCTATGTAGAAATAAATTGGATTTCTCAACACATGGCCTTTACTGGTTGAACTTGAAACATGATGGAGCTGACTGGACAGGAGGAATTAGACTCATTTGTTTTTCATTGTTTATTTTATTTTAATGTTTTCTATTTATATTTCTGGCATAATGAGCAGTATTAAATGTCTTATTTTTGTATGTTGTGCAATATATTAACTTAAATATGCAACCTCATTGGTGTGTGGATTTAAGTTCCATCAGTCATGTCTTACTTAAAAGCGTGGGCCAACATTTTTGTTTGTACTTAACCGTCACTGGATAAAATAGGGAGTTGCTGGTTGTCTTTACTTACGCAAATATAGAAAATATTCAATAAGCGGGTCTTCTCAATTTTACCTTTCTTTTATTTCTTGAAAATGTGCATACTTCTTGAGTGTCAACTGCACTTGATAGAGATAGTATATTGTGTGAGGGCAATATATGCAGATAGTTTTCTTTCACCTGTGTAAATCCAGTGGTGTCATATCTCACTGCTAACTTATTTTATGATAAATTTGCTTTCTTATTTAATTTTGTTCTAAAGGACATTTAGAATGTTTGACCTGTGTGTCAAATATACTGTATAATTCCACTCATGCTTTTACAATTTGCTCAGGAGTTGCGTAACTTTTACTTTAATAAACATCATTCGCATAATTTCTCATGTTTTGCAGCAAACATGTTCCATTTGTGCCTGTTGTCCCCATTTAAAGTCTGCTTGTGCAGAGTCACTAACTTTTCTGCTCATGCTCACTAAAATGTATTGGTTCGTTTTCATGCTACTTTTAGAATTCTCTCTTTTTTTTTTGGATTACTGTGTGTACATAAAGTTTGTTGCTTACCTTTGCTTTTGTATAGAAAAAGAGATGGAGAAAAAAAACTGTTACTCAAAATGAATGTTAAGATTAATTAAAAATCTAACCACTGTCAATTTGTATATTAAAGTAGAATTATTTATTAAAATTGATGTAATTATCCTTTACTTCCTGTGCTGTTTGTTTATTGTTGCAGTGCTATTTCAAGATTATTATCAGAAAATCTCCATACAAAGTAAACCATTAGTATGTTTGCATTTATACACCCTCATACACTGAGTACACTCATACACACACTCAGTGATCAGTGCATCTAAAATGACTGTGTGTGATTTCTGTTAATACTGGTGTAGTACTATTTTCAGTTAAGTAGCTATATAAGCCATAAACCATAATAATATATATGCCATAATATATGCAGACATTATAAATACACATTATACTTGGCAGGAAGGAAAATCAGGTTCAGTGTGCATACCGTAAGTGACTTTCAGTTACAATTATAAATACCAATGCTGAAAATATACAGAATCTTCCACACGAGCCAAATGCACTTATTTAAGCCAGTGTTTTCCAGTTCATAAATTCAACTAAGCCATGTCCTGCGTTAATCTTTCATCTTTCAGAAAAATGATCTGTCATCAGGAAACCTGTATGTCTGAAACCAACAAACATATGCTATTCAGCTTACATAGGCCCCATTTATACTTTAATAATAAAAATCCAATTTTTTTTTTTACATTTTGTTGATAATACCTAAGTGAATGTTTTAATTGAAGAGTTTCACTTTTAATAGAACATAATTTAGCAATTTAAACATAGTTTTACTTAAATACTTCTTCCATCACTGAACTCTTGGGATAAATATTTCAGATGCAGGTCTCTGGCTTGTCTTGCAGCAACACCATTGTAATGTTAATTTAGGTCAACATGTTACATTCGCATTTATTATTACCTATTAAGAAAGAAAGAAAGAAACTTTATGGTAGTCATCTCTTTGGTCTGATAAAAAAAAAACGTGGGAAAAGCAAGGCCGCTCACTGTAATTTTTTCTGTGACAGTTTCATTTTATCCACCGTCTTATCAGTATCTAGAACAAGTGTTGACAGAAACCCCTTTCCCGCTCCTTCGTTTCCGGCCTGGCGCTCCGTTGTTTTGAAGCTGTTTCTATCTATAGTCTCTGGCTGCTTCGGGACGTCGGCGGGTGGAACCGACCGACCAGTCGGGCACTCTCGTTTGTCTGCGCGCGTGACGTCACCGGCAAGGATCTGCTCCCCGGCTCCCTCCAGACCATGAGGAGCGCAACGTGACATCCCGTTAGGTACAAGCAGGCTTAACGGTATCAGTACAGCAGCCGGTATAAAAAAAAAAAACAAAAAAAAACGTTCCGCTTCAGTGACAGTGTCATCCCACCGCCGGTGCACGTGCCGCGCAGCAAGTTGGTACAGTATGAAATTACACGGTGTACACACTGAGCGCGTGACACATGCCAGGGCACGGAATGGGAATATTAGAAGTAACTCCCTCATCGACGGCAATGAAAGACTTCAGTTAATTAACGTAACTGTAATGTTTGCTTCTATTATTATTATGTCATGATGTGTTTCGCCTGCAGGCTATTATATAATATAGACTTATATATATTATATACATATGTGTGTGTGTGTGTGTGTGTGTGTGTGTGTGTGTGTGTGTGTGTGTGTGTGTGTAAACTTTGTAAAATACACACACCACAGATAGATGTAAAATATACCAATATACCATACACACACACACACACACACACACCACACACACACACACACACACACACATATATATATATATATTATATACTATATATAATTACAAACGTGTAAACGCAAATAATTACATAATTGTTAATATATAAATAAACATTGTTTACAAATGTTTATAGCAGAGCAATTATTATTATTTTATTGTTATTGTTATTGTTATGATTGTTTTATTGGCTAGTTGTTCTGTCATTCACTTAATAAAAACGATTTCTGGGCTAGTGTGCCTATTACTCTATAGCAATAGGCAGTAATAGGTTTTTTTTCTTCCTGTGACACAGGATTGACTTTCTGACTTTTTACCGCTCGACTTAAAATCACAACATTGCTCTGTATGAACATACAGCTCTTTAGCTAATAGCTGTAGAAACATAATCTATCTTTTTATTATTGTGGTTCGTCTCTCCAGAGGCTACAGTGTTTTCAGTTATTATTGTACAGTGTAATATAGAGTCTGCCATATTTGCAGTTTTACTGCCAAACTGATAACGGGCGAACTGTTGCTCTACTTTCTGTCTCGTAAACACGGTCCGTTCTGCAAACAAGAGCATGGTGGTACACGGGACTCGGCCCCAGTGGAGGAGTACTACAGAAATGGGTTGTACTCGAGCAGCAGGGAGGGGGGAGGAGGTGTGTGTGTGTGCGCGCGCGTGTGTGTGTGTCGGTGTGTGAGTGTGTGCGCGTGCGCGCGTGCGCGAGGCGTGGGGAGGGTGAGGAGTTGAAAGCGCCGTCCAACACGTGAGGCTCATGTGACGGAGTCGAGTCTGTGTCTCTTGCCGAGAGACGTGCCTGTAGTCACAGGGTTTATTTAACACGTAGTCAAAACCCACCTCAGCGCTCACACATTCAGCCGGGCGTGGAGCCTCCCTAGACATACATAGACTACTACCGAGTCCGGACCTCAGGGTGACAACGCTGCACCGTGCTCAACTCCAGCTCACAGCGGGGACACAAATACACTGGATAATAGGAGATACTTTTTGATTCGTTTATTTTTATTTTTGTGAGACTTTTTCTCGTTTTGAGGCGCGATTGCAGAAACACGTTTGGAACGATTTGAAGGCTTTTTGAAGTTATTTATTCGGGTTTTGCAGTTAAACGACATGGAGAGGATTACTAGTGCGCAACCACCTCCCTGTGTACCAAAACACCCATCACTGGATATAGCAGACATGCCGGGGTAAAAGGAAAATTTTGTTTTGTTGTCTACTATTCTTTTCTGTTCTATTCTACGACATAAAGCACTTTATACTGAACCCTAACCAAATTTAAGACTAACTAATTTTGTCTTTTCTCCAAAGAAATTTTCCCATCTATGTGTACAAACCCAGGAGGGGCATGAAGCGCGGGGATGAAAGCAAGGTAAATAGATGAAAGTTAAAATGCACAATATTCTTGCATGTACCAGTTCAAACTGAGCAGCGTGGATTTCACTGACAACATTTCAACCCTCTCCAGGAGACATACAAGTTGCCACACCGACTGATCGAAAAGAAAAGACGTGACAGAATCAACGAATGCATTGCCCAGCTGAAGGATTTGTTGCCAGAACATCTTAAGCTTACAGTGAGTATTATCTTCTACATATGGCAGGTCTGTGAACAGCCAGAGAATCTGAGACGCCACATGGTTTTGCTGTTTGCTCCAGACTTTGGATTAAGTTCAGGATTCTCAAAAAATAAAGTTTTGGATTTTAGGAGGAGAGAAGAAATGAATAAATGTTGATATATTTTTATTAAATTTTGTAATTTTATTGTTTAAATTCTAACAATATTTTAGATTTTAATTTATCATTGAGAAATATGTGTGTGTACGTGGATTGCATGACTTCCCGGGTGTGCGAGGCATGTCCTCTGTTCAGCTGCAGAATGTGTTACATAAGAAAGATCAACATGCTTATCGAAGGTCTTCCTGTTTTAGACGCTGGGTCATTTGGAGAAAGCTGTGGTGCTGGAACTCACTCTCAAGCATGTGAAAGCCCTGAGTTCTCTCCTGGAGCAACAGCAGCAGAAAATTATCGCTCTGCAGAAGGACCTGCAAATAAGTAAGTTTGATGTTGTGTTGTAGACGTGAAACATAAACAGATGTTTTACACGAGGCATCAACAGACTGGGCCGTCTGTAATCTGCTGCACTCATCAGAACTTATTGCAGTAAAACTGCAGAGAAAATGATTTTTAACTCTGTGTTTTTAAACTACCAGGTGATCATGGAGGTGATGGTCCGGAGAACAGCGAGGAGATGTTCCGCTCCGGCTTTCACTTGTGTGCAAAAGAGGTCCTCCACTATCTGGCCAGCCAAGAAAGCAGCAGGGACCTGAGCCCTTCCAATGTTATCAGCCACATCCATAAAGTAGCAGCTGAGGTCCTGCAGCATCAAAGCAGCCTACACCCAGAAGAGTCCATCCCTCAAGCTTCAGAGAAACTGGAGAAACCCGCTGGACAGCCCCTGAGGGCTTCTGAGGGCCCCGCTAAGAACTGTGTTCCTGTTATTCAAAGGACTTACCCCCATGGGACAGGGGAGCAAAGCGGCAGTGACACAGACACTGACAGCGGGTATGGGGGAGAACACGACAAGCGTGATCCCAAAACCCAGTGGTCAGAAAGACATGCGAGGGAGGGGGAGCTCAAGCATTCCCTGTCTGAGCGCACTGCCGGCGCCATCAAGCAGGAGGGTGATGAGCCTCGAGCCAAGAAGTCAAGGTCTGACTCCTCAGAGGATGAGATCCTCTCCGCTCACGGGGCAGGAGGCTCTGGCAGCTACATCAGCTTCTCATCCAACCAGCCCCCGTTTTGCCTCCCCTTCTACCTCATACCCCCCGCCGCTGCAGCGGCCGCAGCGTATCTGCCCATGCTGGAGAAATGCTGGTACCCCGGGGGCATGCCAGTTATGTACCCAGGCATGAGTGGCTCTACAGTGAGCTTGCCCTCAGAGACTCTTCCCTCATCCCTGGTGATGTCTCCAAGAGCAGGGTCTCCGGTTCCCCACCATACCGCCATGGACTCCCCTGCTCTTCACAAAGCTTTAAAGCAGGTCCCCCCTTTGAACTTGGAAACCAAAGACTAAACAGACGTGTTTCTGTTGGAAGCTTGCCCTCCGAATGTTGAACTGGGTTAGATGGTTGGCCCGCTGAAAAGACTTAAAACAAACAAACGCACTGGTCTCCCTACAAACCACAGCCATTGTTTGTCCCATCAGAACACTGACCCCAGCAAAGAACCCCAAACAGTCACCACCATATATCATCAGCTTCTATCACTTTGAAATGGGACTTTTGGGGGAAAACCTGCAGTGTCCATGCAAAGGCTCATATATTACCTTTTGCATGGTTGGGAAGATGGTCAGTTTAAAGGCGATGAGTCTTTTTTGTTTTGTTTTTTAGCATGGTCCGCGTTCTCCGTGCTCATTGTTGAATGTCAGAGGTAAACCCAGAATGTAAGGCGCAGATCCCCCCAACCCCACCTCCCTCAAAAAAATGATTTGGACCTACTTTTTTGCACACACACCAGTCTGTAATGAATGTAAAGATTGAACAAAAGCCCCTTGTAGATGCTGCTCTAATTGTTTTTACCTGCTGTAGATCTGTGAACGGAGGATCTACCTTCAGTGTTTGTCGCTCCTGTAACTGCAACGAAAACATTGTTTAGACTAGAATGTTACCAAAAAACAAAAAAAAAAAATGTTTGGCTCACAACAAGAGACATTTACTTCTTTCACCCTTCAGTTACTTTGGAGCTAAATGAACACAAGTGTTTGTGATGTTCAAAGAATTCAGGGCGTTGTCGTGCGAGGTGTGTCACTCATGTCTGTTGAGGAGTGAAGTGGCCATACGTGCTTTTACGATTTAATTTGTGAGTCATGACTATTTGTGCATCTAGATGGAGATCCTGTGAAGTAATGTCTTGTAATAATTTTTGTTTATACTACTCATACATCTCTATTTTTGATACGTGACCCGCTGAGTGTATTTGCATCGCTACCAGAGGAAGGTTGACATAGTGTTTCGCTGTATGCCAATAGAACGTGTACAGTATATCGCATCGTGCTCAGCCAGATTTGCATCTTGCCCAAAAATTCCCGGTCAAGTTAAGGCCTGATCTTAGCTCATGCTGTTGCCTTTACTCGTTTAACGCAGACACAACGACGGCAGGTGTTTAAATGTATTTGCTTTAAATGTTGTGTCTGTGGCAAAGAGAGTGAATGTAAAGTTCAAACAAAAATAATAGTTTTGTATAGAAAGAGGTACTTGGGATTTTTATTTTGAAATGTAACACAAGGTTGTTTGTTGTACATATTTTGTATATAAAGTATTATTGATATATATTAAAATATTAATAAAGCTTTCCTCCCGTGGAATTTGTTTTTCACTGCCTGATGGCTTAAACGTGTTGTAGCCAGCCAACCTGACAGCTCCTCATAACAACACATACTTACATAACACTTACATAACCCATAAAACAGCAGTGCCTCTGTAAATCAATAGCATGTCTTAGATTACAGGCTGTAAACAATTCAACTTCTAAAGCATTTCTAAGGATTTATGTGGAGTGAACTTTGGCTAAAACTCACATTTATAAATTTATTTCACTATTTTTATTTATTTTTTATTAGTGCTACTTTTAGCTTGTCACAACTGGGGTAAGCGAAGAAGTGATTTTATTTATTAAATACTGTCATGAGTGTAAGATACACTGATGAAAACTGAACTTCAGTTCATTCACCTGAGATAAATTATTCTTTCTTCAAAAATGTAGACATAACCTACAGATTCACTGAATTTTACTTCATCGTGGTTTAGTGTGGTTTAGAAATTTCTCTCCCATACACATACAGTTGGTGTACTGATATGGTTTGTCTACTGTATGACAGCAAAGTGTTCTGGGTAGGAGCAGAAAGTGTCTGGCAACTTGAGAACACCACAGTGGATGGAAACGGTATTTGAGGTTGTGGGGGCAAGAACTGTAAGTCTTTGATTTACTTTCATATTTAATGATATGGATGATCAGTCTGCCTTAACCTTCTGTTGCTTGTTTGTGAGATGTTTCCTGGGTGGTAACACTGCTGTAGTTGTAGTAATAGTGAAAACAAAAAGGCATATGTCATGCACCGCTTACCACCCACCATGCCTCCCTGAGAAATGTAGAAATGACAGTTTTTCTTTTCTTGTAATCACAACAGTATTTTGTAATTTGGTCTGCAGATCAGTGAAACAATTCCAACATGGTATTTATCTTGAGGTTTTATTTTCATCAGGCCTCCTGACAGTCCTGATGAGCTCCAATATGTAGCACTGGCACCATCTTGTGGACTTTCACTGCTCCTAGCTGTCATTTAAAAACCAGTGGGCCTGGTCTATGAGATTACAACTGATAAGATGTTGCCTTCAGGGATCCCAACTGGGAAAATGCCAGTAACAGCTTAAAGCTACTCATAATATTGTCAGTATTTTAGTCCCAAATATGTTTATGGAGTTTTGATCTTTTTTTGTGAACACGGCAATAACAAAGAGCTCAGCACAACACTGGTCTTCACCAGTGGCTCTCAAACTGAGGGGCAGGCCCTTTTGGGAGGGGGCAGGGAGCCACCGCAGGAGGGGCGTGGATGACAGGGGGGAAAAAAATGGAGTGAAACCAAGTTGAATGAATATGACTTACATAGGGAAATTAAACAGACAAGAGTTTGCTGATGTTATCGCAATGACCTTTATTTCACTAAAATTCAACATGGACTCTTTTGTATTCGTTGTCTCCCCTGTCAACATTAATGAATGATAAAAATTGTGGGGGGGGTGGGGGTGCAAACTTCCTGGCGTCTGAAGGGGGACATCACAGGACAAGTTCGAGAACCATGGGTAAAGACAATTAATATGAATAATAGTGACATTTAGAAATTTTAAATGGAAAAGCATGCACAATGCATAGGTTCTTTAAAAACAATGAAAAATAAAAGCAAGGTACAAATGGCACAAACTTGAAGGTGTTGAAGCCAGCTTTATTATTTTTGCTTCACTCTCACCACACCCATCAATCTTGTTTCCACCTGCAGCAACCAGTTGTTTTTAGCGAAAAACGACATGTGTGGTGATGGGCTACACACCAAACAGACAAAGTTAACACAGTGGAGCCAGATATTTCTCTCATGAACTGGTGGAACCAGACCAGAACTTAAAAGGAGTTACAATATTGGAGTTACATTTGTGAGGTGGACAGAAACACCACTCCAAATGGATGCTAATGTTGCTTGTATCAGCTAGATGTATCTATATAAATAAGCCGCTCAGAGGTTACAAGTTTACAGACTCATAAACTTCATATGATAAAAACATGGCAATGGTATTTTTACAGCTTGTTTCTGCTGCCCCCAAGTGATGAGTAATGTAGGTTTAAATCCCACATGAGCGCAAAGATTACCGACATGACGCATGATATTGTTTGTTCTTTGTCATCTTCACTTGGTTCTCAGTGTTATCTGAATGTATCTTCTACTAACTGGCAGGATGTGGTCTTGCTGGAGCCTCCCTGCTTGAAGTGGCTACCATGATGGCTCTTGCAGAAAACAGTGACCCCAGTGTAAAAGAGGCAGCGAAAAACATTGTCATGAGATAAAGACTGACTTCCAAGAAGGAACACACCATACAAATGCGATAGCATCAAAAGGATGACCTTGTTATTGAGAAGCAGGCAAATAAATCTCTGACTAAAACTGGGTGTCACCAAGGTCATAATGGTTTGGGATAACTGTGGAACTAATGAGTGTGGACATGGCCTCCATGGTGACTGCTGGTGAGAACAGTGTGTGCACTGTGAATGAGGCAGCGGGGAGAATTGTCATTGCTGTGAGGCTGATTTCTCATAAGGCTCAAAATACTTAGTGAGTGCTCATCAAAGAAATGGATGACCCTAAGGGGGAACGTCCAAAAACATCCATTAATCCAGACGCAGGACTAGCTGAGGACAAGAAGCACTCAGAGGAACCTGATGCGGAAGCTCCTGTCAACACCCCAATACAATGAGTTATATCATGTCATACAGTACAGTGTTAGGATTAAAGCTTTTCTCACGCTCATTCCCTGCGTTCTCCTCCATTTCCCCTTTCCTTGTGTGTTTGTTCGTTCCTGGTTTTGTCTTTCTCCCTGCCTGTGTGTGTGTGTGTGTGTGTGTGTGTGTGTATATGTGTGTCTCTGCTGGGTGTGGCTTCCTAGTCCTGGTTCCCACCAATTTACTTGAGCACCTGCAACTCATCAGCCAATCAACTCTACAACTTGCTGCAGTATTTAAACACCGGCTCTAACCTTTCAGTGTCTGCCAGGTTGTTCAGTCTCCCTCATGGTACAGATGCTGCGTCCTCCTCTCTGAACTATCAAGTTTAGTTTCCCAGTATCACTTTTTGTTTGACTAACTTTGGTTTCCCTGTGCTTCATATTCTTTGCTCCGTGCTCAGCCCAGTCCAGCCTCACCCAGCCAAAATACCTTTGCAAGTTTCCAGTTGGGACCTGCTTCCCTGTTCCACTCCGTCTGCCTGTGATCCATCTGTGTCACCCAAGCGTCAGCCTGGATCCCAGCCCCTAATCATCTCCAATCACAATAAAACTACCTTGCAACTGTTACCTGTTGCCTGGTCTGTGTTCTGCATTTTGGGTCTGAAACAATCTGGCCACTATGGACCCAGCAGACACGGCTTTAGACTATTCCGCCCTTCAAAAAGCAATCACTAATCAAGGAGTATTACTGTCACAGCATGGCCAGTTCCTCCAGACTCTCTCGGAAAATAACTGAGCCATGGTTAACCAGATAACCAATCTCTCCAAGTCACCATGCTCAATGCTTTGTTCTTTCCGCCAGCCTCATCTGCCCAGCCAGCTCCATAGACACCTGCTCCAGTATCTCCACCGCCAAGTGAGTCCTATGCCACAAATCCCGAACCATTCTCAAAGCAGTGCACCATGTTTTTTTTAGCAACGGCCCCTTACTTTTCCGTCAAACTCGTCAAAGGTACAGTATGTGATTTTTAAGAGGGAGAGCTTGGGCTTGGGAAAAGGCTGTGTATGCAAATCAGTCTGGATTCATCATGTCATTTGACAAGTTTGTGTCGAGGATGAAAGCAGTTTTTGATCACCCGGACTTTCGGGGGAATGCATCTAACCAGCTGTAAAGTCTTCAGCAGGGAATTGAGAGCTTTAAGTTAATGCACAGATATTGAGCCTAACTTGACTGATATTAATACATTTGATGCATATAAAATATATTTTGATTGCTTTTACACTAATTACCCTTAAACTGATATTTAATTTGTAATTGCCCACATTCTGGCCAGGACTTGTACCATTAATATGAAGCACCAAGAAATGAACCTTTTCTACTTTGCTGGAATGGTTCAGTGTTCCTTGAAGCTTCATCTCACCATCACTACATAGTATCAAATTATAATTATAACAACAAAATGTTACTTATAACAACTAATACTTTCAAACAACATTGTATTACACACGCAAAATGAGCTTTTCATGAAGGCATTACAGTACACATTCATGCCATGTTGCAACCTACAAAAAAAATCCACATTTTGGGGATTTTTGTTTTTTAATCCAAAGAATTACAATTTTCTAGTCATCAAAAACAGCATCACATGGCGTGTGTGTGTGTGTGTGTGTGTGTGTGTGTGTGTGTCCTCATGAGGGGCTGCAGCTGGATACTAAGTGCCCTTATGGATCACAGAACTGTCCATGGGCAGTGTATTAACATACAACAAATTATTAAATACTGTACATATTGTACATGTTTTTTTGACCTTCAGTAACAACTCTAAACAGCCTGCCTGCAGACATTTTTCACTTATTGGCCATATAACTGGCCGAACTGCATTTTATTCAAACTACTGACGGTTTCCTCAGTGTGTGGGGTGGCACAGGTTCCCGGCAGGCAATCTTTCAGGAAGCACTCAGAGAATGAAGGTCATTTGTCCAACTCATACCTTTGTGTACTATGCCTATTGGAAGTTGAGCACATAGCTACTGGATAATCAACCTCTTATACTATACAGGGGTCATTGACCTGGAAATGCACACCATCCGATCATAATTCTTCTCATGCAGAAAGATAAATTTGCAATATATATGTATTTTGTGCATTATACAGAAGTAAAGATAAATAGGAATATTTTGTAAAACGTAAAATAGCACTATTTTGACTAGAATGAATGCCCATATAAGATTTAGATAGAGAACGGAAATAAAGTGAAATACAATCCAGTGTTATTTGTATTTGCTTTGTATGCATGCTTTCACTGTGTCATAATTAAATGACAAAGTCATGTTAAATGATAATTGTTTTGTGAATGAATTGCTTTCCATTGTAATATTAATCTCCATTCCACACTGAAGAGGTGTATTACATTTCAGTGTTGTCCATCAGAGGGCATCATAGACCTGACAAACCTACATACAAAGCAGCTGTTGTTAGTTTTCTTGAGGAGATGAGAGGAAGCTTTTGCTTTCTACAAATTTCATCGCCCATATCAAAAGCCCACTTATGGTGAGACTGCATGTTTGCAGGAATGTCATGGCAGGGTGTCAACAACATGTCATATCAAGTCATATCAAAAATAGTTCCTCTTTCAACTTCAGTTCCTCTGATTTCAGTGAATGACTTCCTTTGTCATTCTCTATGTATTTTGTATGTATATGCATATATATATATAGCTGGTTAATAATTGTAAGCCTTGAGTCAAAAGTACAATATTTAACTCTAAACTAGTTTGAAGGACATAAAATGGAAATATTCAGGAAATATTCCTAGAAATTGTACTTTGCAGTACTTGAGAAAATGAGTCACTTCCCACAACTGCTACCACTACTACCACTACCAATACTTTTACTATTTCCACTTATCATAATTGTCCTACTACTACTACTACTACTACTACTACTACTACTACTACTACTACTAATAATAATAATAAAGATACCACTACTGGGCTACTTCTACTTCTATTTGAACTATGACAATAATAAAATGATTGTTATTGGTATTATCAACTCACCATTGTACTTTTAGTGCCTCACTTGTGGAACTTAATTCGTATGCAGAATGAACTGAGAGTAAAGGTGCATATTGGTAAGATAAAAAAAACTTTTAAAAGTTAAAACCAATTGGTTTACGAAGCTACGAGTTTGTGTGAAGTGATCAGCGTATCGACCGGATTTTATTATGAAAATCTCGGAACGGAAGTCTCAGTTTTGTGCTTTGTTTACAGCTCCATACCAGCAGAGGAACTCCGCTGTCACCAGCGCCAGGCTCTGGATCTCTCGGACTTGGCCGGTCAAGATGGTGCGGGGTGCGGTGGTGCTGCTCGGTCTCGTGCTGGTAGTGCTGTGCCAAGCAGAGTTCGCTCCACCTACAGTGAATATCAGCTTGGATGAAGATCCAGAAGTGCGATGGGCGCCTCTGCTGAAAGTCTTCGACGTAGACTACCTGAAGAAAGCCGGCGCAGAGGTCATTGAGTAAGTTTTCCAGAAGCTCTGTTTGACTACCATGTAGTTAATTATACCGTTGAAGTAATGATAGTGAGTTTATCTTTCTTTAAAGTGCTCTATTACCCTGAAATGCTGTTTACCAGATGTGCAGAGGTTAGCAATTAGTTATGAGTAGTGCACAGCTAATGTATTGAAGTAGTATACTGGTGATTCATAAAATAAGGTTGTCAGGATAGAATTATGAAAATTCTTGGGTAACTAACAGACCAAAGATGACATGGTTTTACTGTCTAATACATTTTCATCTGTGGTAAACAAGAAGAGGTTGAACTATGTTCATGTAGCTGAAAAATATAATTCTAATAGAGAGCCAACAAGCTAACATAATATTAACTTATGCCAGCCTTTAACGAGTAGTTAAATAAACTTCTGGACTAATGGACTTCTGGACTTTGTTACTGTGTTAATCTTCCAATATTTGCTGACAGTGATTGTTCACAGACATGTTTTTATTTATTGTTTTTGTTTGTTTGTTTTTGTCAGCACTACAGTTCCAAAATGGGTTCATCATGCAATTGCACCAATTGTTGCGGCCTTGGAAAAGTACATTCCTCAGCCTTATGCAGGGGAGATCCGTGGCATGGCTTCAAACCTGGGAGGAAGCATTTCAGATGTCATCATGCTTAACTTTGCCTATGAAATATCTGCGTACGTATGATTTTAAATCTACTTACAACTTCGTAGTTGAAACACAAGTACTATGCAGAGGCCCACAGTTTCTATATCGCAGAATTAATGTGAAAGTCCACTCATGCATGCAATCAAACTCTATGCATTCCTAGATTTTGCACTAGCATCATAGCTCAGGACAAAAACGGGAGCGTGTACCACGGCAGGAACCTTGATTATCCGCATCCTGTTCTGAGGAATCTGACTGTGAACATAGTTTTCCTCAAGAATGGAGAGGTACAGTATGTACTCCAAACATTACAAAATTGAATAGCAGGCAGTTGCACCTCCTCGAACTATACATAGAAAACAGCTAAGAATAATTTATGCAGAAACAAACATCAGTCTGTAAACTTTGGCAGGTGCACAATGGAAGTTCCACAATACAATATGATTTTCCTTTCTTTTCTTTTTTTAATTTGTTGAAACTGCCATTCAGGTGGCCTACCGTGGAACCTCTTTTGCTGGCTATGTAGGACTGTGGACAGGACAGAGTCCTAACAAGTTTACTGTCTCTGGTGACCAGAGAGGTAAGACCGTGCTTCCTCTCAGCTGTCATGTTTGTCCAGATAGGCTGCATTAGTCTGATTTTATTGGTTCTCTTTTGTTTGTGATCATCAGGAAGTGAACACCTGTGGAACTGGTGGAAGAATGTGGTGTCCGCTTTCCTCCTTAAGAGATCCCCAGTCAGCTGGCTGGTCAGGGAGGTGGGCATATTATGGAAATGAGTATAATGAGGGACTTTACTGTATGAGGAAATGAAACTTACTGTGTGTAATCTATGCAGACTCTGGAGGAAGCGCAGGACTTTCAAGAGGCAGTGATGCGTCTGTCTAAAATCCCCATCATCACTGGGGTGTATTACATTGTGGGCGGGGTGCGAGCAGGGGAAGGGGTCGTCATCACCAGAGACCGAGCAGGCCCTGCTGATATCTGGCCACTGGATCCTGTGAATGGGGGGTAGGCAAAATAAAGGATCTGAGTTTGAGTCTGATTATGCAACTGAATCCAAATATAAAATTGTGTTCCTCTTTTAGATGGTACAGAGTGGAGACGAACTATGACCACTGGCTTCCTCCTCCAGCCAGGGATCAGCGAAGGTGAGTCATCTCGTAGGATGAATGCATCCACAGTATTGTTGGTACTGTTATTACACTCTTGTTATGCGTTTCATTTCTTAGAGACGCAGCCAACAAAGCACTAAATGCTACTGGCCAAGATCACATAAACATGGATACACTTTATCAGGCAAGTATGAACCAAAGTACACGCGATATTGGAAAATCTATAATGCACATTGTGAAAGTCAGAGACAATGTATGGATTTGTAACAGGGTGTTGTCCTCCAGGTTTTGTCGCTGTATCCGGTGTGTAATGGGTAAGAAAGATGTTATCTGTTGATTATACTCAAATGTTTTTATTTAAGGATTCATGTGACTGTTCTTGTTGCTGAAATGGGGAAGTTGTGTGCATACCAGCTTCAGTTCCCTTTGCTTACTCCTCAGCAATAATGTCAATAGGCCCTTGTTTGACACTTTACTTAAGCACATAGCAAGTAGCATATAGAACAGCAATAGCTGGGTGTTTAAAATTTTGAGTGCGTGCCAGACAGCTCTTTTTAAGAAACACTGGCTTGTTTTAATAAGGTTCCTTCTGTTGCATCATATTTGATCGAATACTACTGTCTTGATACTCTCCCAGAATTACTGTTTACACAACAACAATGAGTGCGGCAGCTCCTGAGCAGTACAACACACTTGTCAGGCCACAGGTAATTATATTACGTCTAAAATGTATATATTTGTTTGTTTGTACTCCTTCAATCACTTTGTCATAGAATAATAAGCAATGAAGTGATGACTCTCTCACTCACACTTTCTATTCTCTCTCAAGGGCTGCCCTGATACTGACTGAACTGACTGCAGTCAACAACGCACTGATTTTTGCTGCATTATCCTTGTGCATCTGAACTTCACAACATGGTTACATGCAGAGTCATAATCATGTGGAGATGATATAATTGAGATTAGAGAGGAATTCCATAAATGCATTTTTAGGGGTGACTGCTTTTCTGCCTCTAATCAAAGAAAAAAAAATCGCTGCGATAATTTTTGTCACCTTCTGTACGTGCAAATTACATATCAAGCTTTTCAATACTGAAATTATTGTGATCTTCTGGAGTGAAGTGAGGAGCATTTCTGGTGTATGAAAAACACACTGGAATTCAGCACAAGTTGAAATATCCTCAGGGCAGAGTGGGGTTAATTTATCCCTGTGATTTATACATCCGTCAGTTTTTAAATACAAGTAACCGAATCTCACCTCCAGGAATGTGACAAAAGCAGGTTGGGCACAAAATAGGGAAGGTGACGATGACAAGGAGGGAAGGAGGGAAGGAGCTCCGTTTGTGTATTTGTGCCATGCATTTTCTTGTTAAATGCAATTAATGAGCAATTGATACAAAGTTTTTTTTCTTTCTTATTTTTTCTTTTCTTATTTTGAATGTGGTGTGCTAATGCAGTGTATTTTAATACTCATAATATTTTTTACATCAAGTAGAAGTTGAGAAAGGAATAATGTCTTCATGCAGTTTTACAGAAATTAACATGTTCAAATTAAATATTTTTTCTTTGCTAACTAAAACTTGCCTTTTGTCTCAAAATACAACTGAGAGGGGACTTATTTTAAAGTTTACACTTGAGATCACACCTCTGGGAGTCACATGATGCTACCTAGCCAAGCAAACATCTTTAATTTATCCATTCATTTGACTTTAAAAACAATGCTAAAACAGACTTTTGCCCATCACTTTTAAAATATCTTGCCTACTGATGAGGGTTGGACCTCTGACTGACACACAAGATTGACACCAAGATAAATAATTCAGCTGGACACAACAAAGCAATTAGCAGCAACACTGAAAATGGCTCCATGAACTAACACTGCAAATGTTTCAGGATCAGGCACCTCTGTAGCATGTTTAATGCATTGCTTACAGAGATTACAGACAAACCAAACTCATGAAAAAATTGCCTCTAAAATAGCTAAACTCCAAACCAACACAAGCACATGATTTGCTCCCACTGTGAACAGAGGTTCCTCTTTCCAGGCTGTTTTGAACTTGATGACCATTTCGTTCTCTTCCATGGAGCGATAGCTCTCATCAAACCACTGAAAAGAGGTGGGGAGGGCCCCAGTGTATGGGTCCCTGCAGGTTTGTGTTTCTTCTTCTTGTGCTTAAAGTTATAATATGTAACTTTTCCATATTAAAATATCTAAAAATTACTAGACTTGTTCTATATTTTCTAATTTGTGTAAAGACAGCAACAGTTATAATTAAAAGTGTGTTTCTTTGCGTAGACTTAAAGAGGGTCAAAAAGTAACAGGATATAAATGAAGGATTTAGAATAAGTTAAATAATAAGAGAAGAGAGAGGGAACAGGCTTTAAGGGATGAAGAGGATCAGAACAAGAAAGAGGAGGAGGCCCCCCCCATGAAAGCCACGACCTGGACGACGTCTTTCCAGAGTCGGCGGGAGGGATTTTTCTGTGCCAGGTGAGTCAGAAGCTCTTCAAGGTGAGTGCAGAGACTGTATGATGGCAGCATCGATGACTCTGTCCTGGAGAACAGTTACTATCTCCAGGTCCTTCATGACAGCTTTGCAGACTCTTTATGTATTTCATGTTTGGATTAATGCCTTCTACAGCAGGTGTTTAGTGTGTCTCACCCACTACTCCTGGCTCAGCCTCTGGATGGCAAGACATTTTGTCAAGAGTTTGACTGTCAGCACAGTGACAAACAGATGGAGCTGGTCCTCATATAGTGCTTCACTGGGAGCTGAAGGGCCAGATCCAGTTTTTTCTTCTGGGCTCTGATTGTCCTCAGAGTCCTCTCCAAGTTTTGGGATATTTTCCTCAAGTAGAAGCTCAGATACAATGTTCTCAGGGTGTTCCATGTCTCTACACTGGTTCTCTCTCTCTCTCTTTCTCTCTCTCTCTCTCTCTCTCTCTCTCACACAGATGTGAAGAGTTGTGTTCTTACATTACGACAAATTTTTCCAATAATTTTCAAACGAGATGAATCCGTGATCTTAATCATGGCAATAGTCAGTTTCATTTGGTCAACGGTCAATGACGTCATACCCCCTTTGCACATTGTCAGTGTTGTGTTTGTGTGTGTCAGAAGTCAACAAAATGTATTTGGTAATTTTTCGTATTTTTAACCAGATGAAGGATATTAGTAATCGGACATCTGGATCTTGAGTTATCAGAGGAAAAAGCCAACCAAATGTTAATGTACGTGAACGTTTGGTTACCAGGGTAACCCCGGTTCTCTTTCAAATCTTGCTCAGTATCTCACTGTGGGATGCGCCCTCTGGCGTGACCAATCACGGAAGCTCCACTACCACCAGGTATGTCAGGGGACAGACCAATCATCTGAGCTGCATGATACAGCCCGTCCCCCTTTATAACCACCTGCAGCCCCCACACAGCATTCTCAAGTGTATTTATTCTACATGCAAGCAGTGCAATGAGATACCTCACTCAGTTTTCAGAAAACCGGGGTTACACTCTTAACCAAAAATTCTCTTTCAAACCTCGGTATCTCACTATGGTTGACATGGCCCATTAGATTGCATGCTCCGAAGCCCAAAATACCTCGATCCAGAAGATCTAGCATACAAATTAAGATGAACCAACACTCAGGCCGGAGTGCGCCGATGAAAGCACTGTCACATTTATTGCATCATTACTCAGTCGCTAGCAAGATAGAGTCTTCCCTCTGTGACAATGTGCACACAACACGAAGAGCTGGTTACTGCTCATAAACCCCTCAGTTCTGTCCGAATAGGCCCACAAGGCCCAAACGGGACAAAGTGTATTGAGCCACCTATCACTCTCCTGGGCAAAGGGTAGGGGGTGAAAAAAATCCCGCATCCTCAGCAATCCCCGAGGAACGATGAAAATCACCGAAGCCATCAGCCCTGTCAGACACAGACAAGCCCTCAGCGAGACCAGATTCCCCCTCGGAAACAGTGAGGTGGTGATGAAATGTCTGCATCCGACAGAAAAGCAGAAAATCTCAAAACAAAACTGAATTTATCTTGAGACCCAAATATTCTATATTCTGAGTGGGTAACAGCATGCTCTTGGCATGATTGACACTGAAACCCAAGCCGGTAAGGCAGGGTAATAATGCATGAGTTTCCCTCTCCACTTCCTCCTTACCATGTCTAAAATTTACTGCATTCAGTAATTCAATTAATTTAACATTTAGTAATTTAATTTAGTGAGGGCTCCAGACTAAACTTTTCCACTGGTAGCACTGGTGCTCCTAAACGAGTATATTTCTTCTGTATATAAATGGTCTGTACCTCTGAATGTATTAAGTATTCTGAGCATGTTGAGTACTGGGTGTTTTGCAAATTTTAGGCCACAAGAGTGCAGAGCGCACAAACCTGATGTGCCAGTAACAATTGGAAGTAAAATGATATCCTTTATTACCTGCCAAAATTATTAAGCTGTAGGCTACATAAAGCTGATAACTTATGAAATCAAGAACTGATTTTACTTTTCTTTATTATAATAACTGTGTTGAGGCCACATTTGCATTGCAACAGAACCAATTTATATGTATGCTGCAATGATGAATCCAGAACATAAAGGTTGGGACTGGTAGTGCAGTGTTTCCCATACATAGATACACATTGCTCTTTTTTTTACTATTTCATATGGTTAAAGTCTTATGTCATTGTAGAGCTGTGCGCAGTGCATAGATTTACTCAGCCCCTCCTTGCCCCGCTCCCTCTTGCTCACAAACACATTGACAACAGACCTGTCTGTCATAGTCGTACTGGCCATCAGGTAGTGGGCCATGAAAAAAATCCATACAGCGTTTACCACCCCTGTTTGTCTATTTATCAACCTTCTCTGTCATTCAGGGTTGCAGAGCATGCAGTGTGCGTGTGCCAGGAATAAGCTTAAAACTTTTTACTTTTTACATGTGTAGCAGACATAGTGTACAGTACAGGCCATCAATGGTCACCACATGCTTATGATATATTGTAACACTTTTGTATTTGCAATACAACAACAAAAACCTTACCGCATCCTTCCCTGGGCAGCCGCCATCAGTGTCGGCCAATCAGTGCCCCCCTCACCTGTAACAATGGTAGTGGCATCAAGCACCTGCTCTGTGTGCTCCTCCAATTTTGGCTTTTTGAAAAACCTCACCATGGACATTTGTTTCGCCTTTGCTAGGTTAACTGTTGGTCACCACCAGGCTACTTGTTTTATGCTAATAACATTAGCTAGAAAACAACTAATGTGGCACACTCTTGCCAAAACAACCAACTGCAGTTCATGTGATTTAAAGTACAAAGAATTTTTATTGGTAAATAACCGCTACATGTCCATAAGTGATGAGCTTGGCTAATGTAGTATTATTTGCCTTCAAAAAAAATGATGGAACTAGGGAAGCAATGTGGAAAATATTTGTCTGTAAGGATATTTCAGAGGAACACTGATTGGTCTGCTTGATATTAGTCAGTTAGATGCAGAATTTATGCCCAACGTAATTTTTCAGCATCTTTCTTACTCTAGGCTACAGTGCAGATGAAATCATCAGTCAATGCTATATGGAGCTGCTGTCATGAGTGGGATCAGCCATGTTGCAAAAGAAGGTAGGCAAGGATATACCACGTATCCACTGCTATGGCCACCAGCTGCACATGGCAGTGGTCCATGCAATGCAAGGAGAGCCATGTGCAAAATTTGTTTTAGATATATCGGGATCACTGCACTCCTTTTTTCACTGTCACTATGCTTCACAAAGCTATGATGTCCCCTCCCTCAAACGCCTGCTGGAGAGTAGGTGGACAAGTCACCATGATGTGGCCAAGTGCCTTAGAATCAGGATACAATTGTCAGTATCCTTTCAGTCGTTTTGGAGGACAGTGCAGCAGCTGCATGAGGCATCAGGTGTGTTGATGATGCTTCCTCCTAAAAGTGTTTGGTGCTTCTGACCTTTCAGGCTCTGATGAAGATGAGAGATGATGGGTCATTAACCAGTTTAAGATGACCCTGCTCCAACAGATATAAGAAAGAGGAGAATGAGCTTACAGCTTGCAGGTAGTGTTGTTCTGACCACTGTAGGCCACACTCAAGACTTTGTGACTCCTAGTCAGTCTCTGAAGAGAGCTTTTCTCAGGTTTTTGGACAGTCATTGTAGAGATGGAGACCAGGTTCTCCAGGAGCAATCTTGATCTCATACTAGCAGTGAATTGCCTTCTTCCTCAGTCTCGCTCTTTTCTGGATGTTGCCATGTTGAGTATGTATGCAGTCGCAGACTTTATATGACATTTTTGTAGCCAGCAATTATTCAAGGCAGTCATAATGAAATGCAGTATGTTTTTATATTTTCATAGGCTGTACAGTTACATATGCCACATAGAATAATGGATTGTTGTGTGATAATTATACAATACGAATACATCTGTGTGTAATTGTTGCTGAAACTCTGTAAATAAATATACAATTTATTTGGTTTTTTAAATTTTTTTGGTTTACCACCAAATTTTGCTTATTACATTATTCCCTTGTAAGATGTGACTTGTAAGACTTTACCTTTTCTTTCTTTATTTTTCCAGAGATGTGGATGTTGGCATTCCTCTTTGGTGTCTCCAACTGAAGATCAAACAGATTCCCATTAGAGCAAACCAGATCAGTGCTGGGAAAGAGTATGACTGGAGCTGTCAGAACTTTTAGCAGGGCAAATTTTGACCCAGAGTCGAAAATGGATGTCGTGTTTGTAGTTGCTGAGGGAGTTGGAGAAGGTGCTGTAGATGGGGCATTCTGCACTCTGCTCATGAGACAACTCCAGAGCAGTTCAAAGGTTCAAAGGTTGAACCTGTGTGTGTTCCAAGGTCCAGAAGAATGAAGGCCTTTGGAACAAAAAAATATATCTTTGTAGTGGCTGCTTACCTTATAATTACTTTTACCTAACAATGACTCAGCATTTTCAGGTCTAATTGGCTGATTACACATGTGTCAGTTTCAGCCTCTTCCTGTTAAATGGATTACTTTTACGCAATTTTTGGCAGTTAGTTTTTTTGGCCCCTTTTCTTCATTTTAACGCTTGATATGTATGTACATGTGTTATATGTTGAAACACTCATGAGCTACTATGAACAAACTGTGATGTGAACTTGCTGCTTCTGTGTGGTGTGGATGTCATTGTCACGATCTGCCCTGTTCCTGCTGTGTTTTTCCTGTTTCCCCTCGAGCTCCCATTGCGTTCCCTAGTTTGGATTACATGACTTTGGATTTTTTTTATGGTTTTCATGTCCCTGCCTGATATTTTTGTCAAATTAATCTTCGAACACTACCTGCCAGTCTTTCTGTCTGCATTTGGGTCCAAGCGTCTTAAATTATAACAGTTACACTGGTTGTGATACGTGGTAGACATTGTCAACTCACTCAGGACTGTTGTGGAGAGCGGCATGCAATGTAAGATGAGGCCATCTTGGACAATACCAACCACCCTCTCCACAACATTCTGGCAGGTCAGAGAAGCAGCCGCCGCCAACGTCTCGTCTCGCTGCGCTGCAGAACAGAGAGGTTCAGGAGATGCTTTGTCCCCACTGCCATCAGGCTGTATAACACCTCAGCCAAAGGCAGTGGCTCATGACTTGTACTATTGTGCACCAGAACTATTATTGTTTATTACTATTACTATTGAGCTGCTGGACATTTGAATTTTTTTTTCATTCTGATTGAAGTTTTCGACTGTTTACATGGGATGTGATTTAATATGTTCTGGTGTTTACGAGCACCAAGACTTTTAATCAGAACAGCTGTGTGACATGAGCAAAAGTGATGTATACCTACGTGGAGAAATGAATTTTCCGATGTATTAAGTCAAGACAGTGGGCACACACAGAAAGAATGCAGCCAGAATGTAAATTGTTAAATTGTTTACTTGGTACAAATGAGGAAAAAAAAGCAAAAGCTCCATTTTTATATTAATTTGCATATTTTTTATTATATCATGCTCATCATGGTGTCCATGTCCAGAGAAATAATCACATTACATGTACTCATTTGGCAGATGCTTTGATCCAAGCGATTTAGAAGTTCCTAAAGGCAACAGTCTTTAACCCTGTGAAACGATCTAGCAAGATCTTTAACACCTAAGGTATATTTTAAAGGCATGGATGGGGATTGAACCCATGATCTCTGGTTTACGAGACCAACGCCTTACCACTTGGCCACCACGCCTCCATAGCTTGGTGTGTACGGCCATCATAATTTGCACTGTGGATGAATGAGCAGAGGAAAAAGGTGGATTTAGAGCAGTGTGTGGAAGAATTTGACGTAACGTCAGGTGAGTGCAACAGTTGACTGACTGTTGTGACTCACCGTATATTACAATACAATACAGCTCAACAGCACCACACACTACAGCCTCCAAAATGATCATACAGTTGAGTCAACAACTTCAATAATTTTAATTAAAAAATCAATATTATAAGGGAAGATTTATTGTCAGGCTGTTGTATAAGACTGCATTAGTTTTAGCTAGATAAACTGCCACCTCAATGTATATTTTATTATCCATTGAATGCACAGGCTGCAAAATGCCTGACTGGAAATTATTGGTTGCTTTCAGTGCAGTTCTCACCTGGAACAGCATTGGAATACCATGCATACACCTGTATATATGCCTGGTAGCCTAAAGATGTTCTTTCCTTTAATAGCTTTATCATATAATCATCATTATCACCATGCAGCATTGTTAACCCCTCCCCTTCCTCCTGTTAAAAATTTAACACAGTAATGTTTACTCAGAGGACATTTTAACGGACTTATTTTGTACTTTCATCTGACTACATTTTTACACAAGTACTTCTACTTCTACTTGAGATAAATTTGAGTTGAAGTACATTCTTCATTACACCTCATACCAGTTATCCTTAACTGTCAAGTGGTTTTGGCTTACTGAAAATCTTGCAAGTCATTGTTTCTTCTTATGTGATGACAAGTCCTTTCTAGTCCAAATAATTCTCCTATTTCACTTCTCTGGCTGTCTTCACCAACTACAGCCTGTTACATTTCTACAGTGTTGATACATCAAAGACATGAAAGGATCTTTAAATTGTGGGACATAAACACACACACACGTTTCTATTTCTGCCATTTTTGTCATTGACATAATGAATTCCTTATTACCTTACCCTAACCCTGAATGTATTCATAATTTTTGGCCTTTAACTTAGTTGTATCTGTGTGTTTTAATGTTGTTCAGTTTATCTTATTGTAAAGGACCAGATATATATAGTATGTGAATCCAAGCTGAACAAAATTGTTAGCTTGCAGATGTAGCTATGTTTCTCATAATCAAAGATAATAATTACACAATGAAGTTGAAAAAGTTATTAAGGCTTGCAAATCAAATATTTTTTAACTACAAATAATCATTAATGCAATGAAAAATAACAAAAGCTTTTGGAGCTTATGGCAGATAAAATTTGTGAATGTGATGGTCACTGGGTAAAAATTATAAGCCAGTGAATGACAGACAGATAACACTACTTAGGCTTATTGAAAGATGTATTGTAATGATCCTATTGGCACATGTGCCTCTCTGCCTTTAATGCCGTTAAAACCACAAACAGCTTTTATGGCCTAATTAGGCTACTATTGTAACAATTTGATTGATTTGAAATTTATTGTAAAAAAGAATTGATCTTGACTGCTTTGGAACTTGGGATGTGGGAATGCATAAAAATCATATAGAGTATAATAGTGCAAAAGCTGAAAAGCGTTATGGACCAGTGTAATGATGTTGAATTTCCTTTGTTCTTAATCTAAACCATGGATGCATAATGAACACTTTGTGATCTTGTCAGTCAGGTTCCGCAGTCGCTGTGCGCGCTCCCGTGAGGTTCATGCACTCCTAACAGGCAGAACCAGCAGCAACACTTGTCAGTAGATCACATGATATGACAAAGCAGCTAGCTACTTCCTGTGTAGACTGTTAGCAAGTTCACATCCAGACGGCCGCAGCGACTGCGACTGCTGTGTCATCCAAGATGCTGGCCCTCATAAACAGGCTTTTGGACTGGTTCAGGTCCCTCTTCTGGAAAGAGGAGATGGAGCTTACATTAGTGGGACTTCAGTACTCCGGGAAAACCACATTCGTCAACGTGATTGCGGTAAGTTGCCAGCAACTCAGTGTGGGCCCAGGCTACAACCTGGAAGAGGTGGTGGACGAAGCTTTCTTTGGATATGTTACACATTTATAGGTTGTTCTATAAATTTAGTGACATGACAGTTTTGGGGCCTTACAAATGGCACATGTTGCTGCAGTACTACATTGCTAACGATTTCGCTCAGCCGTTGTTTGGCTAGCTAAATGACGAAGTAGTTGGTATGACTGTGCGCTTACTTATGAAAGCGGTCATGTGAACGGACTCGTCAGTGTAATCGCTGCTGGTGTGTCAACATCAGCGATATGTTAACAACACGGACCACAACTACATTTTGTAAACAGCCTGTCTTGTCTACGTCATCCAACTGGGTGTGAAGGAGCTTACGAGGCCTGGAGCCATCATGGCTACAGGCTGCCACCTGTATATATCATCAGTATAGACTTTAAAGGAAAAAAAAGCTTTCGTGGAATATCCCATTGTATGCAAGCCAGTATAGCTGAGTTCAGCATTGGCTTCAGCCCCTGTTTAATATTTACACATTATATATTTTCTGATACTTCTTTATTGGAGCTGTTTGTTGTGATGTCTCGCTTGCTTAGCCTGCCAGCGCTTTGGCGTGGTAAGGGTTATACTATTTAGCCCAGTTTTGTTTATGTCTGTGTTTCTAGGTGATAGGCCACACTGTACTCTTCAGAAGAAGTGAAGTTGCAAGCCACAGTACTGTAGACTTCCCCCTTCCTGGATTCATCACAATAATACACACTTATTCCAGGCTCTGTTGTGGTCATGTCAGGTGATCTGCAATTAGGTTTGAACAAAGCTTCCTTCTCCTTCACACAGGCTGCTCGACTAGGCCCAGGCCGTATATAAGCCACGCAACTGAGCCTGTTAAAGTTATATAGCATATTTGAATTAAAAAATCATCATGTTATTTATTACTAAGACTAGGTAGTGCTTATATATGCAGTATAGATTGGCTTTACAGTTGAGTATCACATTTTAAGGATAAATGTCTGTTTTTATTTTTATGGCACTTTGAGCTTCTGTGATGTTTGGTTCCAGCCCAGGCCGGCTGTAAAGAGCTTGATTGAAAGCTAATTTATGCTGATGCATAGATGGTATCATTTCAACATGATGCATGGAGTAAAAGGGCAAGTGTTAAGATTCAGCTACAGTCCTCAAGCAGCTAATATTACCCCTGTAATCAAATCATTTCCTTAAATTTATTATGACCGCGTGCACAGAAATGATTCGCAACCTCCAGGCTTTTCATGTGACTTCTGAATCTGTTGAAACTAAATATATGTCAGCAGAATTTTATTTGAAACTCTTGACAATAGACTATCAGTCAGTTAGTCACTTTCAATGTGAATTACCTCACTTGGTGTGTCTTTTCACAATTTAACATTAAGTATTCACCAACATGCCACCATTTGTCCTTGCGTTTGTCTCATACAGTCGGGCCAGTTCAGTGAAGACATGATTCCCACAGTCGGTTTCAACATGCGGAAGGTCACTAAAGGAAATGTGACAATAAAGGTAGGCTAACCAGCTAAAGTGTCCAGCTGGATGCTTTCACCCTTCACTCAAAATCAATTTTATACTGGACCAGTGCCCGTGTAGAGTTGTGTACTCTGCACTGGAGAGCATTAATGGTGCAATGATTGGAACAAAATGTTACCCAGGCCCTCTTTTTTTTTTTTTCGCTTCGCTTATGACTGTATTGTTGATTTTGTGCTTTTGTGCTTTAGATTTGGGACATAGGTGGACAGCCCCGCTTCAGAAGCATGTGGGAGCGCTACTGTAGAGGAGTCAATGCAATTGTGTAAGTTTGTGGACGCTCTAGAGTACAGCGCATGGCCTTTGTGGCTGGAAACCTGAAAAAAATTATATATAAATGCATAATAAAATGTTATTCATCATGTTAATGTTTGGTTTGGTTCAGGTATTATCATTTATTATGTCTCATGTAATAGTGTCATTACATAGTTCTCTTTTGTAGATGTTATGTTTCACTTTAAATATTTGAATAAAGTGTTTGAGGAAGGTGTTTTATTTTGGCGTAGGGAAACGAGTGCTACCAAATTTAAAGTAGTATTTTTGTTTTCCTTTGCAGTTACATGGTGGATGCAGCAGATCGAGAGAAGATAGAAGCTTCCAGAAATGAACTGCACAACCTTTTAGACAAACCACAACTACAGGGAATTCCTGTAAGAGACCGCTTATAATTTTTGAACAAAAAGCTCATGATTTTTCAGACGCACCTTGGTTTATCACTGTGATTTCTGTTATCTTATCACAGCCAGTGATTAAAGTCATAATGAGTAATCGCTGCAGCTAATGGCTTGCAGTGACTCAGCGTTGATGGCCTTACACTCGACAGTCATTTGAACCCAAGCCAAGATTTTTAAATTAGTTTTCAATATCGAAGCTGACAGCATAATTGACTTGACAGGGTATGACGTGCTGAATCGATAGGGCTCCAGCTGCTGTGACTTGACACCACACACAGGCTGTTTATTTTGTCCTAACAGTAAGGATTCTGTGAAGGGTCGTGAAGGACATGTGGTTGATAGATGTCCTTTAGATTGGCTGATCAAACTGTGCTATAACACCGATATATTGCTGTGCTGGACATTGATCAGCTCTTCCTCTCTTTTTCTCATTTTTCAGGTTCTAGTATTGGGCAACAAACGAGACTTGCCCAGCGCACTTGACGAGAAGCAGCTCATTGAAAAAATGTGAGGCACTCTGAATATTGTATTTCTGCTGATAATCCAGCAATAACATCAGGAAAAGGATTTGTGATGTAACCAAAAGCTAACATGCGAAACATCATGTGGTCTTTTCTGTCACTGGTTTGTTTATCAGACTTACACACAAAATTAGTAGATGATAAATCTACAAATTATGATTTTATGCATTTCCAATGAATTAAACTTACATAATATGGCCAAAATAAGGTGGATAGGGGTATCCACATACTTGTGTTATATCATACATCAATCAAGGATTTTATGCTTTGAAAAATAAGCATTTTATTTCTTGACATTTGAAGATGTGATTTTAATCTTTTCCGTTTGCAGGAACCTATCTGCCATTCAGGACCGAGAGATCTGCTGCTACTCTGTCTCCTGCAAAGAGAAAGACAACATAGGTAAACATCTGAGGGCTAGTTCATCAAGCAAGATTACCAGTCAAGACAGGAAATTCTGTTTAATTAATGAGGTTTAATTAAATCTAACTTCAGTTAGCATAAAAACTCATTTCCCTTGGCTAGCCTGGTTCGGGGCTTAGCTTCACCTCAGACTTAGAGAGTTTCACTCTGGCAGATTGATCATAATTGCTGGTTAATTGCTGCAGTCAATTTGTGGTACATGTCAAAGTCGACTTATCAGTCAGATAAGTCAGACTAGTCAGTTTTGTCACTGTCACATGGGCTGCACTTGTTGCATTCTTCAAATCTGAGCTGATACATTTTAAAGTATAAAGTGTCTGATTCATATTGCATTCGACATGTGCTTTTCAGGGCACTGCAATTAAGATAAAGCTAATAATCTGTTGTGACTCATCAATGTAGCCTCAATGTAAGAAGCATTTTCACCATTTGTTCTCTCTTTAAATGCCACTTAGATAAAAATACAAATCTGTGTCTTACAGCAACTCTGAAGTTATTTTATAGTATTTTCACCATATGGGTCCCGATACTTTTCTTTCTTTACAGTCCAACTGATACAGAACTGAAGTTTCTAGAAACTGCTAATCATTTTATTTTATGTCTATAAAATAAATAACCTGGAGTCCTGTTTGAAGCCTCAGTTTAGTTTAATGTCACGTTGCAACTTGGACATTCATTTCCAGCATTTCGGTCAATCAGTCAAACAAGTCAAAATGCCTTACTGACAAGCTAATAATAAGACGGCATGAAAATGTATACAGTAAAACAGTATGAGACTAACGCACGTGAGAAATAAAACTGAAAAGTAATAATGAAACCAATAGAATAGATTTTAAAAAACAGTAAAACAGATAAAGGATAATAACTAAATAGATAAGAGGGAGGAGAACACTGAAAACATGACAATAACATAAACACTGTCCATAAAACATTTATGATCCAATTACTCGCATTGGACTTGAACCTGAAATGACGCGACAACAGCAAAGCTAATAGAGTCCAGCAGGATGAAGCGAAACACCCTCTGATCAGAGTTTAAATGGTTCTACATCAAACCTCATGGGTACAAATGTTTAGTAATAATTTCTTGCTGAAGTCATAAAAATGTCTTACAAACGTATTTCCTCCCTGCAGATATCACACTGCAGTGGCTCATCCAGCATTCAAAGTCCCGGAGAAGCTGAAAGTGAAGCCCTCCCCAGTCGCAGCTCTGGCCTCAGCCCTCTAACGGTCATGGGTCCTTGACAGTCATCCCTTCCACTGCCTCTGTGAAGTAATCCAGCTCTCTCTCTCTCTGCTCACTACCGTCACCACCTGCATCACCCAGTACACTACCATAGATGTGTAGCCCCTGTACAGCACTACCGCCACCCCCAACTATCTGGAGTCTTGAAAAGTTGTCTCAGTACTGTGCTAGAAGGTGGATTGTCCATACCCATCATGCCTTATCGCCTGTCATTATGGACATGCTCTATGTCTGTGTACATCATGGGAGTTTTTTTTTTTTTTTTTTGGCTTCTGTTTTCTTCGACACAGGAATCTAATGATGTTGCAGTGTACTGTTCCCCAACTAGGATGGAGCTCCTCTAATCCCACAATCAAAACATCCGTTTTGTTGCCTGTCAACATTTCGTGTTTACGTGACATCGTGTGATTGTAGTTTTTAACAGTTATTTGCCAAATGACAATGGTTGCTTTGCGCTAATGCCTTCAATTCCTGTTAAACTCTTAGCAATGTAGCCTGCATTTTTATTTGCCGGCATATGGAAGTATCTATTTTATTAAGTGACTTAAATTAAAGTTTACACATAACAAGATCAATGGAAGGCGAGACTGTGAGCGGTTGTTGTATCTGAGGCAAAAATCCTAAGATACGTCAGCAGATTTTTAAGTGCCTTTGGCTCAGTGAGTGTCCCAATCAGACAGTTATTGCCCAATGCAACTTCTAACCTATTATAAAAAAAAACAAAAAAACACTTGGTTCAGACACAGCTAAAATCCCTTGATTACACTTAACACCACCTCTAGACAATCTCATTTTATGTTTTCTAATCACATAAACACATTATGACGTCTGAGAAAAGACAGCACTGTACTAACAATGAAAAATGAGGAATGAAGTAATGGATGACTTGGGATGTGAGGTGAATATGAAAATGTTACATTTTGTTTGGTATACTTTTGAATGCTGTTTCATTTGCAGCCTGCAAATCTTTTATGTAGCTTGAAATGTGGGCTGACTTTTGCTTGCAGTTCTCAGGTTGTTATGGGATTTTTTTTTTATTTTTTTGTTTTAATTGTCTGAACATAGTATGGGTGTGCTGAAGTATCTGTTTCATAATCCCTATTTTGTTCGGGTTGGATAGCAGAAAGCCAGTGTTAGTCACGGGGACTGAGATGACAGAGAGGAGAAGACAGTCCATTAGTTGAAAGCGTTGGATGTTTGATGTCATCCATGCCTTGCCACACCCTTGGCTTAATGCTGATGTCTTCTTGTGAAAGCCTTAGCAGTCCAAAGACAAAGCCGGCTCCTCTAAAAGCGACGTATTGATTGACTCGTCATTTCCTTTCAGCGACAAGACAATGATTTCTCCCAGTTTCAACCACTGTATATTAATTTGTCCCTTGCCTGGCCAGTGCATCTTGATCTGTTAATTTTTTTTTTTCTTTTTCTGCGTGTGTGTGTGTGTGTGTGCGCGCCATCCAATGGGAGTGTGTTATCCCTTCTGCTACAATACTATATGTAGGCCTACCTGGCTCCTGCATTTCACTGTAATGTTTGTTCCACATATCCATCACCTACTCTCTGTTATCTCACATGTTGTACTGTGTCTGTTGGTGATCGTTGTTATCCTAAATGTCGATTGTTGGGACCACAGCAGCAGTGAGGGGCTGTATAATTGGGTGACTGAGTGGGTAATTTGGGGAAAGCTTTGTTACCTGTGTAATAATATAGCCTATTTGCAATTTGTATGTGCATGTGCTGAACTTAATCACATTCAATTGCAGACTTTGTAAATAAGAAGTTAGCATTTTTATTCCAACAAATGCTCCTGTAGATGTAATGCATTCTTTCCCTGTGATTGCTAATAAATTTGTTTTTATTTTTAAGGATCTCAAGCACTGCATCCAAATTCCTTGGTAAGTTGTCAGTTTAAGTTTTCACCACTAGGTGGAGGCAGAGGACTTTCAAAGGATAGTGGTAAAAGGGCTTTAACATCAGTTTTACCTGAAGTTCTCTTTGGGTGAATCATGAACCTGCTTTCCTCTTTATGTGTATACATGGTGGTTATTATAGGGCATGTGTCTGTACAGGTGTGGAGAAGTTTTTTTTTTTTTTTTTAAAGGGTTTAGAATTGCACTATGTTTCTTACACTGCGGTTCTCACTAGAAACTTCACAACACCTCCATCTACAATGGAGCCCATGAAAAGAAACCTCCATGCACCCGCAATACACTTGATTCTCATAATTTTTGTCACCGAAAGCCAGAGACCACCTTTGTGGATAGATAAGGTTCTGTATTTTCCATTAAGCAGATATTGTTACTCACAGATCCCATAATAGATGATTAACACCTCTTAGTGTTTCTTGGCAGAGAAATTATTCTTAGAAATGAAAAAGAAACACTCTGCTAATGTTAAAGCAAGTGCAGGGAGTGTGCTGCAAACTAGGGGGCAATAAAGCAAACTTGTGTTCACACAGCTGGACCTGCAGAGCTGTCGGAGAGGCAGCCCGTGCCATTAAAGCAGGAACACCTTAATTAATCTCATTTCTTAAACCCAGCGTTTAATGAACAGCTGCTGGCATTTATTGTATGCCAGGGAGGTAGTTAGAGCGTGTGGACAGATCTAGGTGTTACCCGATGAGTTCCATGGGTCAGCGGAGAATGTTGCATGTCTGTGTCCGTATGGGAATTATATGTATGTGCGCGTGGGTCCTTGAGTGTGTGTGTGGTTTACAACTGCAATAACCGCAAAGGGATTAAGTGTTGGTTACAAACCTGCCTCAAGGATTTATGTAGAGAGGTCACGGAGATGACCCAAAAGCGCGACGTACTATTAATGTAGTTACACTCCATTACCAATGCACTCATGTAATACAACGTGTTTTGCACCAACCACCTGTCACATAGGCACTATTTGCATTTCTCAAGGGTCCCAACTCTTCGCTCTGTCCCATAAATGACCATTCATCAGCCAAAATTACAACAGCTGCTATAAATTGAATTAGGGAATATTTCTCCAGACATGATTCACTCTCTCATAGCTTTCACTCTATTTAACTGCTGTAGCACTGAGCTTAAAAAATCCTCCCTGAAAGGCTTGATGGACGTCTTAAATAATGTAGATGCAAGTCAACTTTCAACAGAGCCGCTAATCATAATACAATCGCAATCACATCTACATATAATGATCCATAACGTTTGAGCTTATGCTAAATGAATACAGTAAAGCACCAGTTCAGCTTCCCGTCTGTAAAACGCCGCCCTGCCTAACGCACAAAAACTGTTTCAGATTGAAGCTGCTGTCACTTGTACAGACTGGTTCGCTTCTGCCTCTGCAGCCCTGGACAGTCTCACTCAACATTCAGTGAAGGAAGCCTGCACTTCACTTTCTCTCAATTGTCCAGCAGCACTGTAACAAGCGAATACATTGCACCTGGTTTATGCAACCTCATAAACTTGTTTCTTTCACACAGCCTGTGCAGAGGTCACACTGTTATCTGTGTAAATCACAGAAGACATTTTTTTTTTTTACAGTATGAAAATGTTTGTCTGTCCAATCAATTTTTTTTCTAACTGACATATGGTCTTATATGGTGTATTCATCTGGGTTTATTTAACATGCATAAGTAACTACTGTACTGCTCCCATCCAGAAAGGTCTGCAATAATATTTAGTCCAGCATTTAGACATATAAGTCATAATCTTTACGATATACAGCATTTGCAGCACACCCACGAAGCATCTCACTGAATCCCCAAGCTGCGAACATGTGGCTGTAAAGGTGAAGGTCATTTCATGTCTGATTTACAGCACCTGCATCGGTATGAGATTTAAGCAGCAGGACATTAAATAAAGGGGTAGTGACAACCTGACATGGTGGAATCTCAAATGACGCATGAGAGGAGTTGCTTTTTCCATAATTTTTTTTTTTTTTGCTGTTTTCACTAAATATGCAACTCAAAACAAAATAAATAAATACACTTAAATTCATATGAATGGCATGTTGGGTAAGTCTGTGAGAGACCCCATTCCTCTTTGATTGGACACACCAACACATTCACATGACTTCATATTGTCCTAGGCAGTCAGTTGTTTATTTACAGCAGTTTGCCAGTAACTCCTCTTTTTTTCATATGACAGAGATGACATCAGAGCACTGCTGTCTTTAGCTTTGCTAACTGTGGGGTAATTTGTCCTGGGATCTTAAAGCCTCTGTTTTATGAGACGTAAATAAGTTGTTCCAAAGTTGTTAAACCATAGTTTTGGGATTAGATGTTTGGAGCTCCAGCAAACGACAGGCATCTGCAAACACCTCATTCAGGTCCCTGTGTGGACCATAATTTGGCGCTAATCACTATGTATGGAATGTCACATGATTCATACAGATCTGCATGGCACATATCAACATCAGTTACTGCTCTACACCCTGTAAAAGACAGATGGTTACATGCATCTACACCCTGTAATAGTCCAGCTTAATGGGGCTCTGTAGACGAACACATTCCTAAACGGGTTTACCCCGACCATTCATTCACATTTATTGGTGCAGATGCACTAGTGAGTGTTTGACCTAATGTAATTTTCAGTTCAACTGTTTCCTAAATTTATTTAGAAATGGAATTTGATTAGTACATTTATTCCCATCACATGACGTTGTTTATATCTTTACATGTGTGTATTTCATCCTTTTTTAAAACAAGTAACAACAATTTGACAACAATTTGCTTAGAGATAATATTTTTAGCCATGCTAGTCCACTGGTTGGTCCAGAATGAAATATCTCAACAACTATGGGATGGTTTGCCATGAATTGCCATGAATTGTTACAGATATCCGGATACATTTAGAGAATGTAACTGTATGGCTTTGGTGATCACTGACTTTTCCTCTAGCACCACCATGAGGTTTACATTACTGGATTTTGACTTAAATATCTGTTGGTTGGATTGCCATGACTGTGGTACATTAATTAATTTCCCCGTTTGAATGAAATGTAATCACTCGGTTGGTCCTTTAGCTTTTATCATGTCAGAATTTCAATCAGTCCGTTATTGGTTATGGCCACATGCTTGAGTGCTGATTAGCAAATGTTACACGCTAACACACTAAACTAAGATGTGAACCATTTTGAACATGTTAGCACACTGATGTTAGCATTTGGCTAACAGTGGTGAACCCAAATATAGCTAGCATGGTTGCACTGTAGACTTTTGTTAGTTAATAACAATATAATGTTTCTTAGAAATGATCATTAGTGTTAAGTGAATAGTCTTTTCCATTGGTTTTGTCAACGTAGCGCCAATTTAGCAAAGTAAAATATCCTGATATTGGTTTAGTTTTAGTGGTTGTAAGCCACAACAGAAAACCACTGGTTGAGTGGCAAAAGAGAAAGTTATTTTTTATTTGATGTAAACTATGACTTTCTCCTCTTTTTCTGTGATTGTGGGAGTGCAGAAAAGCTGCTGAGACCTCCAAATGCAATAATTCCATTCCCACTCAGTGAGAGTAATCTTTCAGGTCCATTCTGTTATCCGGCGTCCTCTCAGATAGCCAGCTCCCCTGTGAACGCTTTCATACTCTCACCTCCCTGCCTCTGCTCCGACACTCTCCCCTCCTCAGATTCCATTAAAAATCATAACTTCAGCTCCTGGGGCTCTGATCAAATAGGGTGGCTAATGCATTTTTCCTGCGTTTTGATTTTTTTTCCCAATGTACCTCATATTTACATATAGATTGAGTATTTATCAGTCTGCATTTTAAGGCAGATTCACTGTAGTCCACTTTATTAAACCATGTTGGATTTATGTATATTTAATGAAAAGTTGATGTAGGGAGTGTAATTCTTTGAACAAGGGAGTATACTTGGTATGTGGTGTCGAATAGTAATGCAGGGGCTGTGAACAACCGAACTAGTAAGTTTTGAAATTTCTTTGCTATGGTTTGGCCAGTTTTGTTTTATGTGTAAGACTTCTGCCCTCAGTAGCTCCACAAACGCTGTTCCACCAACATCATGTGATGAAGAATATGAAATATCAATTTGCAGTTTCTTTATCCTGCTGTTTAAACAGATGGAAGTGAGAAAGGTAATTAGCCATACCTACATAAGTCATACAAGCTGCAGCACGTTATGATCCATTTTACCTCATGTTATCTGCCATCTCTCTTACACAGGGATCCCAACCACTCAGCTAGAATCTGGAGGAACATACCTTACTTACTACCTACTTACCAATTACTCCATTTAAAAGTAATTACATCACATTTCTAATTACTCAACAGAAAAAGTGAATTAAAACATTATTTGTTATTTATTACTCAGTAAAAGTTAATTTAAAGATGCCTTTAAAGTTCAAGTTTGTCATTTTTATAGTTTAAACAAAGACCAAAGCCTTCACACCCGCACATCTCATCTCATCTCCTGTCTACTGAACACAAAAACCAAACTGATATCAATGAGAAGACAGTTACCAAACTGACCCCATGAACATGTCAAAGTAAGGAAGTGTCACTAACATTAGTAATATGATTAGTGTTATTTAAAAATTATACAGTTCTCAAAATACTTGTTACTGAAAAAAATAGTAATCACATTACTTTATATCAGTCTGTTGAAGATGAAGCAAGAACCATGAGGCAGTTAGCTTAGCTTAGCATAAAGACTGGCAATATGGGGAAAACTAGGAAAGCTAGTCTGGCTCTGAGGGTAGCTGGTTCCCCTCTATTTCCAGTCTTTATGCTGAGATAAGATAACTGGCTGCAATAGCCTCATATTCAAAACCAGACATAAGAGTGATACCAGTGTTGACGGTGTATTTGTTGGTCCGTGCACACAATTTTTTGTCTTTTTATGTTGTGTGAACTAACTTGATTATTAGTGCAACCCTGTCAACTGA